CCACCACCACATTTCTTCTTCGAAAAGCTTCGATCTTGTCGAAATAATTTGAAACCATCTAAGCAGACTAAGTCATCATCATATAGATATGAAGCCATGTTTCCTGCAGCATTATTACCCCCGTGTTTCGATAAACATTTGTGGACAAGAGTGACTGAAGGTAATCAACTTTATTCGAAAACGACCTGCAGTTTGTGCTAAGTATTTCCGGAATAGTCATTTGATCTATGGTCATACGCTTCAGAGCTCGTTGCCATCCACCGTGGTGCTTCTTCTTAAATTTCCTACCAACTTGCGAAGCGATAGGTTGTAATGATTTTAAAAACGCGCGAGAATATACAATACGATTGGTTGACATAATTAAACGATTAAAACAAAATAGAAATAAGAAATTTGATGCAATATACTCGGTGCTAGAAAACGGTAGTCCAGAGTCCAAGCAGGCCGCCACAATCAGTTTCAATGGATTCAACAAGTAGTTTCAGCTACTATTAACGAACTGGTTACTCTGAGTGAAGTCTGAACATCAGTCATTATCAGTCTTCAACTCTGTTTATTGATCGAAATTTCTTTTTATAAAGTACGGTCAGAAACTTGACAAAATTATACAACCTTGATTTGAATAATTTTTTGATCCAATTACTTTGTTAGTTTTCTCCAAACTAATCCACTGGAGAGTAGGGTTTCAACTTCCACAGATTGTGAAACTGAAGAGTGTCAATAACCTCATATCGGATATGTGTTTATATAGTAAATTACTCAACAACATCAACTGTTTCCATGATTTTAACTGTCGCTGTACTTCCACTAGAATCTTGTTTTGGTGATTACTGTCATCAAAATTTGTTGGCAGAAGAGTTTTAATAACTCAGATCATTTGATGTTTGTCATTCTGTTTTAGACATTAAAACTCATTTGTCACAGATGGTTTAATGGATGTTAGTCTGTTGGAATCAGTCGAAAGCAAGTCTTGAACCTAGGTTTCTTGCTTACTGGCACTCACCATCAAAGCGTGTTTACAACCACAATGTCCCTTAACCAGGACGAAACAGTTGTCCATAGTTACGAGGTTTTTAATAATTTTCCGCTTGACGTCAGTTCGTGGTGAATACCAATTTGAAACCAATGAGTCCCTACAAAACTTTAAACTTCCAGTTTGAACCATCAAGAAACTGGTATTTCTTCATTGATCCAAACTAAAATCAATCAATGATGTTGCTCCTGTTATCCAGTCGTTGAGTGAACCTTATTGAAGGGCCAAAACTGGCATGTGGGCTCCTGCGTGGTTGCCTCTATAATGCGTATCGCTGGATTGTATACTAATGACAGATAGTGGCTAGAAGTGGAACCCAAGAGGCGCTTTTTGTCCTATTTGGGACTCATCAACTAGATTTATCTTCCTCTCAGTCAGTGATGTTGTTCCCACTAGCACTCAAACTCAGAACTAATTGCTTCAAATGCCACGATGCTATCCTCTAGACCACTGAATCATGATAGCCTCTTCTTATGCGATGGGTATTTTTGCCTGTATTATCTCAGTCCCGAGCTAGATTCCTGATGAGAACAACATCGCTCAATGGGACCGAGGTACATCTAGCTGATGAGTCTTAAAGAGAATGAAACACGCGTCCTGGAGTTCAGTGCTAGCCTTGATCTATAACTGGCATGAAATTAATCAGTTTTAAAAGCCCAATAACCCTAATTACTATTGTATTCATGATACCTTCGTGGTTTAAGATTGGATTGTGTACTTTTTTCAGTTGTCTATCCTTTAGTATTCAGTATTGACCATAGTCTATCGATTAAGCTACTTTTATTATGTAGGCTATCAATGGGTTTGTATGCATAGAATGTTAATGAATACACTAGTGTAATTAAGATACTCACTCTTTAGTTTTAAATTAGGTATAGCAACAGTACTAATATGATTACTGAAGTGATAGCAAGTATCTAAAAATAAACAAAAGTTATGGGATGAAATTTTTGTCTCTAAATATCACAGTATTCACTTTCTTATAATGGTAATCACTGTCATCTCACCGTCGTACATGAAGAGGATATTTTTTGTTAACTGCTATAGATAGTTCATGGTGAATAACAATAAAATAAATTAGAAATTGATCAGAACAGAAATCTGTGGTTAAGATGATAAATCATAAGAAATAAATGATCAAACTTTATAATTAGACTAACTGAAAATACCACTTATCATAGAATACAGTTACGTTTTAAGGTTATGCGTATTTATTATTTATACTGGTACTTGTAATTTCCAGCTGTTATTCTGGATCGAATTGATCGAGCCTGTCTTGGTAGATGAGTTTTTTTGGGAGGGGGGGAAGGCCTGGATACTTTTTGATACTCTCGATGTTGCATTTATCTTGGTAACTAGCAGTGGAATCAAGAACACTCATTTTTTTTCTGATATGAAACTCGTCACGAGTATATACCTGAACTACAGTTAGTGGTTTTGTTTCCACTAAGACTCGAATATAGCACCCATTGCTTCAAGCTCTGAGCGCTACTCTAGTAGCCTCACTGGGATGCAGGTGTATTTATGCATACTTATTTCAACTCGCTGTTACTAAAGCATTTGAGTATATTAAACAAGAATCTTTGATAATTTTAGCCAAACAAACGACTTTTCTGCAGTTCAAATAGGTCGAGGTACACCATTTAAGTTATGCTGAGAAACAGAATGGTAAATTTACAGTAGAAGTTAAGATATGTAGTCAGACATCATGTACCTAGATCACTTGCTTTTCTTTATCCCTCGGCTATTATGTCATTTACCTATGAAAAAATGTATACTCCTCTTTTTCCTCATCTAAATGAATGAGGTTAGAGATCAGAAATATTAATAACCCATGAAAACTAGTTCCTCACTGACCAGTCATTCTTGATACTCAAATCAACAAAACCAGATGAGCCCTATGAATTGAAAATTCATCATGCCTCATATCTTATGTCTCTTTGTTGCAGAAATTTAATCCTATAGGTAGAATAGCTCACTGTTAACGCAACTGAAGCTCGCTGACACCTTTGAAGTGAAGAAAGGAATAAGACAAGTTTGTCTACTACCAACAATTATCTTCTTGATTGTGGTCGACTCGACTGGATCATGCAACAAACTGTGAGGGGTGAGAAAATCGGCATACGCTGTTTGAACTATGAAAAGATCCTAGAAAAAGATTCGGACTTCTCCGATGATGATTTATGTCAAATGTCTTGTCTCACAAACACGAAGATCTACAGGCAAAAATTAACAAGTTGGCCTTAAAGGCAGGGCAGAAATGACGGGACTTCAAGTGAACGTAGAAAAGACAGACATAACAGATGAAGATACCCAACCAACAACAGCAGCAGCAGTAGCAAGCACCAATCACCATCAACGAGAGAAATATCAAGGAAGTTGTCTCTCTCGCCTACCTAGGCAGGGCAAAATCCTCTCAACTACAGGCGGCACAGGTATAGATGAGGACGTCAAATCCAGCCAGGATCGGAAAGACAGCAGGACAGGTCTTCATTAACCTGAAATCAGTGTGAAAATCGACTGCACTATACTCAGCATAAAGCGTGAACAAGATTCGGATTTCTAACACTAATATCAGTCAAGTTAGTGCTTCTATGTGATGGTTGAGAGACTTGGAGTGTTAAGAAAAGCATTCCTTTCCAAACAAACTGCAGATATACATCAATAGCTGCCACATATGCTGACTTGATACTGACACCGAAGATCAGATGGCCAGAATAATAAGAGTAAGCCAGGAGGAACTCTGGCAGGTTGGCAACAAACCCACCAACAACCCATCACCCAACAAATATGCAGATGAAATTAGAGATGAATTGGATTGGATATACACTGAGAAGACCATTTTGCGACATCACGCGCTACGCCGTCCAGTGAAAGCCAAATGGGAAACGATGAGTTGAGTGTTCGATGATGAAATGAAGGAGATAGTGTAACGAAAAATGAAAGCTTGTAGGCAGTCATAGTGCTAGATTGAAAAGACTGGAGAGAAGAGAGTGAAATGGCTATGTTTTACTGAAGCCCTTTATTCGGCTGGAAACTCAGGGGACAAATAATATAACAATAAGAATAATAAGGCAACTGGCTAAAATAATCGACGGCTTAGTTTAGATTCCCAGGAGAATGGTATCTTTTCACGATATCCAACTAATTAATGTATTTTAATGTATAAAAGCTTCATTTTCGTAGTAGAATCCTTATTAGACGTGCCGGCTTGCAATCTACTACAATTCATTTAGAAGTTGTGTAACCTAACTGAAATATTGAACCAAATATTTACTCTCAACTGCTAGATGATATTTCAAGTTGTTATTCATCGAAGACTGACATCAGTTGGAGGAACAGTGGAAACCTGGGAGCACTGGACAGCTGTTTCGTAACACTAGTATGGGACTCCTCAGCAGTGCGCACCCACGACCCCACCAGCAGACATCGGACCCGCGACCTTCAGGTTCCGTGGCCAGCGCGTTACCATTGAGCCACTGGGTCAGAATCCAATGCTCCATATTTCCAACTTCTGTTAGCTCACGATATAGCGCAAACCGCCACCCAATGTCATCGTTGAGTATCTGTCCTCATGGCCATCAGGCTTTGACTCCACCGGTCACGACTTGTCATTGGAACTTCGGGAATACTTCTCGAAGCTAGTCACCAATGAGCATCAGTTCAATTAAATTTTTTGAGGGGGTTGTGGAGATTTGGAAATATTTCATACTAGGACGAAACAGCTGTCCAGTGCTCCCAGGTTTCCTTTGTTCCATCAACTGATGTCAGTCTTCGATGAATAACAACTTGAAATATTTCCAAATCTCCACAACCCCCTCAAAAAGTTTACTAGATGATAATTATTTCATACTGATAGACCAGTGTTTGAGAAATGGGATAGACTTTCAGACTGAACTATAAAATATTTCGTTTTGTTTTCATTACAAGTATATATATATACTCTATTTTGGTGTATTCTTTTCAGATGTCATGAATATTGTCAAGCTCGATTGAATTTAATTTTTGATTCCTTGACGGGTCATTCAGATTTACCCTCTTTAACTCGAAAATCAAGAAATTTAATTTTAAATACAGTGAATAAGTCTACAATTTCTAGTCAATCAACTTCACCATTATCAGATGAAGAAGATGATGAGTATATTGTGGAGAATGAAAATCAATCACTAAAGCGTAGAGATATAAAATCTTCAAGTAACACAAATAAAAATATCATTGATGAACAAAATCAACTGAATAATTTCTTCTTTGAAGCAGAACAGTATAGATTATTGTATAGACCAGAATTAGTGTTTACATTCAGACTAAACAGAAAGCTTATTCAATCACTTGAGTTGGGCGAATCATTGATTGATGGATTAAAAAATGTGAGTTGTGACATTTTTTTGCCCAGTTATTTTCTTTCAGTTGTATCATTTCTGTTGTAATATAACATCATATGAAGAAGTATTGAATCGTTGAAATCAACTTTATGTTATTAGTAAAATGCCCAACATTATTATTGTTGTTCTTACTTGTATAATCACGCTGTTGAGTGAACTGTAATATCGATCTAAATTGGCATATAAGCTCCTGTATGGATGCCACGATATTACCTGTGTTCCAGTTCCAATATTGATGATGGTTAGTAGCTAGCAAAAGAATCTAGGATGAGCGTTTCATCTTATTTCAGATTAATCAGATAGATCTACCTCCTTTCCATCGAACTCAGGACTGGGATAATACAAACAACGACATTAAAACTATATCCGTCACACAAGAAGAGGTTATCGTGATTCAGTGGCTAAGTGGATAACGCTATGGCATTTGAAGCAGCTGATTGTGAGTTCAAATGGTAGTGCGAACAACATCACTGACTGGTAGGAAGATAAATCCAGCTGATAAGTCTTAAATAGAACGAAACGCGCATCCTAGACTCCACTGCTAGCCACTTTCCATCATTAATATTAAAAATGAAGGTGTAAAATGATTCTAAAATATAAGCGAACGGATTTTTTTTAGACCAGAGTAAATCATTTGCTCACGTTCCATGCTTTCCAGTCGTTCTTGAAACAGTATTTTGGTTATGTGTAAATTCGCTTATTAACTACGCTCCAAACAATAGTAACTTTGGCATCATCATTTGTTACTTGTCTGCAGTTGTACGATTTTTTATTATCTAGTCTACATGGAGAATCGGGCACATTTTCCAGTAGAACTCTAGTAGCAAAGATCTAATGAGCGACATTTGTTCACCTCTTATAGATGTGCTAATGATACGTCTCATATACTAAATCTTCTCAACGATGTTCATCATGATAAGTTCCGTCTCCTAGATCTTGTTATTGAACCTAACATAGATTAAGGGGTATGTATTTATAATACAGATTGGGATAAACTTTAATTGAACTTTAAAAGCTTCCGTTATACAAACTACACAAAAGAGTTGGTTAGAAAACTTGGATTCGAAGAAAAACTTGAGTAGGAGAAATGTTTGAATGATAATGGTAATTCGCAGAAGTTGGTAAATGTGTACGAAAGTCTAATGCGAAAAGAAGAAAGTGTATTGCAATCCCAAAGAAGCCTATGGGTATACATTCTTCAACTAGGGTTATAAAATTGCTGCTAGAACCAAGTTTTGATTGAGTGCTGCATCGAATAGAAAATAACTGGCTGTCAGTATGATCAATTTATACCAGACAAACTGTACTTTGACGTAATCGAAGGTGTACAAATTCATTCCTCATATTACCTTTAATCACATCTACCATTTTAGATGTATGCATGAAATCACATATATTTGAAGAAAAGAGAGGAATGTTTATGTTTGTATTTCTGAGCACATCTTCAAAAATCTAAGATTATGAGGTTCACTTGGACTTGAATGATTGCATGTCTTTTGACTAACAGTGGTTAATTTCATGTTGTTTGAAGTGACTAATCGGGAAGAGAACTAAAGTTTATTACTTTCTACTGAAGCAATAGCCATCAAGAAAATAATGCTGAATCTTCCTTTCATATTGTTGACAATCTCCTTGATTAGTATAGAGTTAAGCAAAATCCTTGAAAGGATAAAAATGAGCTGGCATTATCCTTCCATACTTCTTGTTCTTTGCAAGTTTATAGATAAGAAGAATTGTATAAATTATTCCTTAAGTATTTGTATGTTTGTCATGAGTTATATTTTATATCGACAAAACAATTCTACAAATTCATGAGTACGAAACATCCGTCCAGCGCTATTAGGTTTTTCATGGTTTTTTAGCTGATTTCGGCCCTTAATGAATACTACCCTGAGGTCTATCAGTCTCTTTGAACTTTCAAATTGAGTTGACGTCTAGTACTCCTTAAACGCTTGCTTCACGAGGGATCTCGGGAAGTTTCTAGGAGCAATGATCTATGGGGTCAACAGAGTCGTATATGAGAACAAAAGCTCACCTATGGCGTTAGATAGTTTTCGCGCTATACCACAAGTTTAAAAAAGCTGGGAAGTGAAAACCGCTGGATATGAATGTGATAACTGACCGGCAACATGTTCAGCACGGGACATGGCGGCCTTGAGTCCGACTGCTAACGGACTAATTGAGACACCGTTAGGACACCCCATACTAAAACCACTACAGACATCCAGTGTTTCCCAGGTTTCCACAGGTTCTCTATTGATGTTAGTTCATAATGAATCCTACATTAAGTTCCTATAAACGTTTTTCTTGATTACTTAGCATAATAAGAAAAGTTTATTATCTCTTCCTGATGAAGAAATAGGAATGAATGTATTGAAATGTAGGCTAGTTTATCCAGTCTTGTATTTACTTGCCAAGTCTTGTATGCTCAGTTTATCCGTACGAGAGTGAAACAATTAGTTTCTTCCCACTTCTTATAACGGAACATGAAATTGTGTGATTATTGCCATCCTAGTAACTGCTGGCATGAACAGTCAGGTTTCGATATTTTGACTAGGATAGCAGTTTCTTATAAAATAGAAAAATGTAACACTATCTATCTCATTAGTTGTTAGGTTGGCCCTAAAGGCGATTTGGTTCATTAATGTATCTAACTGAATTGTATATCCACAATATATCACAATTCACAAAAATGAAATAATCAATTTCATGCAGAATAAGAAAATAATGCATAATATGTGACTTAACTCAACATGTCATTATTTCCCAGGAACAAATCTTACAGAAATCATTCAGAGGTCAATGAAAAGTTCTTGAGCTGTGCTATACAAATATACTGTTGAACAAATCATAATAAAAATACTTTTTAGAATAAATAAATTAATACTTTAGACCAGCGCTTATCTAAGAGTTACCTATTCCACTTTTCGGTCGACACAAACATCAACCAAAGTATATCAGACTCTCAAATAGGATAATAACAGCTATGTACTTCCTTGTGTACATATTATTATTATTATTATTATTATTAGTCCTTTGGGTTCCTAGTGGAACATAGGGATTCAGTAGCACATCTCCAGTACACTCGACTCTCTGAGATCTTTTGAACCTGTCACCATGACAGCCCACAACCTCTCATTTCCTCCTCACACGATCTCCTCCATGTCACCCTCAGCTGGGACACCCAACTCGTCGCTTCCCATGGGGATTCCACTCGAGCAACTGGCCTGACGCTTGATGTCCCCAGTCGGCCTTCTCAATGCATGCCCAATCCATCTCCACTTCCACTTCCTCCTGCATATTTGTTGCGTGATAGGTTGTTGGTTGGTTCGTCGCCAGTCAGAGCTCCTTGTTGCTTATTCTCATTATTCTGGCAATCCATCTGATCTTCAGTAACGAGGCAGCGTAAGCAGTTGTTGATGAGTGTTTGTAGTTTATTGGAAATCCCTTTCGTGACGCGCCAAGTCTCTCACGCATCACACAGAAGCACTGACTTGACTGGGTTGGTGTTGAAAATCCGTATCTTGTCCCGCATGCTGAAAGCAGAGGATCTCCACACTGGTTTCAGGCTAATGAAGGCCTGTCTTGCTTTTCCGATTCTGACTTTGACATCTTCGTCTGTGCCCGTGCTGCCTGTAGTTGAGACAGTGCTTCCTAGATAGGTGAAGGAGGCTACTTCCTTCAAGTTTCTCCCGTTGATGGTGACTGGAGTTTGTTGTTGTTGTTGGAGTTGTTGGTTGGGTATCTTCATAACTTCTGTCTTCTCTATATTCACTTGAAGTCCCGTCTTCGCTGCACTGCCTCTTCTGTCAACTTGTTTGTTTTCGCCTGTAGATCTTCAAGTTTATGTGACATCAGGCACAAGTGGAGCTAAAGGAAAAATATGGTTAGAAGACTGAAAAGAATTTCGATTCATGCATACTTTCATCTATCCATAGGTGATTAACCCTAAGGTCAAGTCTAAAGTAGTCTTGGTTTCAGTTTTATTCATAATTTATACATCGTTTTTAATGATTTTCATATACATAACCACTTCGTTATGATATATACATATATACTATGCACAATTTGTTTTCTACTTTTCAATTCATTTTCAAGTGGGAATGATCGAATAAACTACCTAAATGTCTAATCTTTTCCCCATAGTTTTGTTTATTCTTCTACCTGGTTAAAACAAAAAGTTGTATCCTGTAATAGTTCCTTCTTTTGGCTGATTTTTTCACTTTAATTTTCTTTTTGTTGCTTACACATAGTTAATATATTTGTTTGTTTGTTTGTCTTGACTCTTGTTAGTTAGTTAGCCAACATAAATATTTGTTTGTGAATAGATATACGCATTCGTTTTGGACAGGTACACAAATAAATATACTTAATAAACAAACAGTACAAAACAATAACATTGAACAATGAAAATCAGTCTGACAGTTATTCAGGTAAATAAATATATTGATAGCAAGATAGAGAGAGAGAGAGATGATAGGATGGTGAGATGAATAGACAATTGAGGGCTGAATTCATAATATTCTATTCCCTACGGACAATGAAAATCTGCGTAAGTAGAAATCAAGTTCCTGGAGAGAAATATGATTTCATGATCTCTAAGAAACAAACAGCAACTACATGAATGATATAGCTTAGTTGTTGATTAGCAGTGGAATCTAAAACGCGCGTTTCTTTCTACATGGCGGTGTACCTGAACACCAGTAAGTGATGGTGTTCCTAATGACACTAGAACTTAGTACTCATGGCTTTTAATGCCAAGGCGTTGTTCATTAAGCAAGTAAGCATCAATTATTGTCGGATATACGAATTTTCCGGATGGGATACCTTGTGACCAAGTAGGTGAAACTTTGGTGTTTGAAGCGATGGGTACTGGGTTCGAGTCCCAATGGGAACATCATCAGTCCATCAGTCCAGCTGACACGTCCCATATAGGACTAAACTCGTGTCTTGTATTCTACTGTCGGTCACCAAGATGAATTTTA